GTACAGTGTCTCCCTGCTCTGTGCTCTGGAAATTCTAATGTCAAAAAGGAAACCCCACTAAGAAACTAGAATGGATTTAAATGACAAAAAGGAAACTTCATAAAGAAGTGGGGAGGTTGTAGTAATTTAAAACGTAGCTTGCTTAAACTTACATAGCCCGATTGCAGCCTTACATTAATTTGAAGATCAAAAAAAGGAGTGCCTCCACATTGAGGCCCCAACTCCGTTTTTTTCCAAATCATATGGAGAAACTCATATGTTCCTATGTGTGAAGATGAAAGATGGTCAAAACCTCTTAATCAGCTCACCATTTTGCCACCCACATCTACAATTCACAGCAGGAGTGTTGCAAATGGCACAACTAAACAAAGCTAAGCTTAAATTTGAACCTATAGATAATAGGTGAAGTGAAAATCTTATAAAATTTCATTCCGTGAAACAGACTTTTTATCTTGCTGGAAAGAGAAAACAAAGAAGTTACCTAACAGTAGAGATGATGCAGAATGAACAATTGATCTTCTGTCTCCTTACACTGTTCAATAGCAACCTTTGCAGCTAATTAAGAATAAACTTGTTCTGAAAGGAATCTCTTTACTAGAAGAATGATGGCTGCAATACAGGGTTTGGAAGATGTGAATGAGTTAGGCTGGTATCCTATGGATCCTCCACTTTATAGTTCATAAGAAATTATAAAATTGCCAGTGATGGACATATCTTGAATATCCAGCCAGACTACTTTGAGGACCTAGTCAGAGATCGATCCAGGTAGCACTTGATGTGCAAGGTGGCAACATCTCTTTGGGCTTTGCCACAATGACGACCTGGGTTGGTGAGGAAATAGCTCAGTTGTAGATGTTCAGGATTATTTTCTTTTCTCTGCTCATAAATATGAGCAAAGAGGGAAAGGGTGGTACAAAGAAATGTAAGAGAATCTCTGCACCCAATTTAAAGGGACAAGAGTCTATTACGATTGTCCCAGAAGCATTTTTTCTTTAAACACAAGGTTAATCTTTACCTGAACTAGATTGCCACAAACTCCTAATGACTCTTTCTGGCTGGGAAAACACATACAACTAATAGCAGTAGGGGACAGACCCTTTAATGCAAACAAAAACTTTCTGCCCAACAGAAGGAAGGCAGGAAATAGTTATATAAAAGTTTAACAGTTAAGTTCTGGAATGAAATTT